ACTCTTTAGAGAGAGGGAGGAGGTGTTCGGACACCGATGAGTCTTTTATGTGTGAAACAGACAAAGAAGAAGGCGGCTGTTCTTAATTATTAATTGTGACCCTTGTACAAGTTTTTCTTGAATCAAATTAATGCCCCAATAGAAAAGTGGAATCCGTTGAAATGGACCTCTCATCCTTATCAATTTTATCTCAAATTGATATTTCTCCCATAAACATCAAAGTTACAAAAATTTGGCACGATGATGATTTTTGTCGACGGTAATTAATATTTGTCAATTATTTTCGTGGATTTCAAGAATAGTTTCTATTATGAGATGATCAGTTATAGAAAGGAAGAAATTTCTACATGAAATACCTTAAATTGAAATTGAAATAATAATTTTTATTTATTAGTTAACTAAATATTTATTTCTGTTTATATAAAGATATGATAGTTTATGTAAAATATTAAAGTCTGACAAATGAGAATTCGATGAAAGATATATATAGAAAATATTCAAGTCGAATAAGTAAAAATAAATATTTCTGAGTTAAGAAATTGTCCAAGAAATAAAAATGAACATGTAACCTAGTCAAAGAAATGTTCATGGGATGGCCCACAAAGGTCAAAGTAGTTGGTGTTAGGACACAAATATCCCATTAGTTGTTATTATCTGCGATTCAGGTCTATGCCATAAGATGTGAGATTTTGCTGATCATAAATCTGGTAGCTGTGTAACGGTCAGGGTGGACCGATTGTACTTTGAGCACAACATACAGCTTCATCTGATGGCTACTCCTTGGAGATATTATGGGCTTACGGCATTTTAAATAATATTTTTGGCTTGTGATGAGTGGCATTTATTTGATAGAGATACATTTGTTTCGTGGTTAGATTGTCCTGCCTCTTTGACTTCATATTTCAATAAAGAAAGACTTGNCAAATATCCCATTAGTTGTTATTATCTGCGATTCAGGTCTATGCCATAAGATGTGAGATTTTGCTGATCATAAATCTGGTAGCGGTGTAACGGTCAGGGTGGACCGATTGTACTTTGAGCACAACATACAGCTTCATCTGATGGCTACTCCTTGGAGATATTATGGGCTTACGGCATTTTAAATAATATTTTTGGCTTGTGATGGGTTGCATTTATTTGATAGAGATACATTTGTTTCGTGGTTAGATTGTCCTGCCTCTTTGACTTCATATTTCAATAAAGAAAGACTTGGGACAAGTTCCAAATCTTGAAGCAAGAGATTTTCATTTTTTAAATTCATTTGGTACAAATTATACTGAAAAAAATTTATAACAAGAAACTGATGACATCTAAACGATGCAATTATTCATTAACAAGACGCTTCTGTCAGTCATTTAGCAACTATTGGGACTTTCCACACACACACACACACACACACACACACACACACACACACACACACACACACACATATATATATTCACTGTTACTCATATCGTGCCAAACCAACTACATGACTCAATCAAACAAAATTAAGAAAATAAAATCATAAAACTTCCAACAGCCTTGTGTAAATATATGCATGCCGATCTCAACAGTACATTTGAAATAGGGAAAATTGCAACCACAATGCCAAACCTTTCATTTATTAGCGAATTTTGTCTAAACCTTTCATTTGTACCACTCATGATATCAAACCTTTCAAAAATTCTCGCTTGGAGTCCAAAAGGATGGTTTCCAATAAATTTCTCTATTAGTTAATTATACGTCAACGGTCTGACCAACTGTTTAATAAATTTTAAAGGGTAAAAGGGGGGTGTATATATATAATTTGAAAATAAAATAAAAAGAGATGGATATCTGAATTGAGAATTGACGGGTATGATTCGATTATGATTCTAGATTAAGAATCGAAAAATCGAATAAGAATAGAATCTTCCTAATTTTTTTTCTTTTACATTGAATAAATCATATTATTTTAATTTTTTCTAAACAAATTAACTAGTTAGGTGATTGATTGATACTCAATTTCTCAAGCCCTAGCCTAGCTAGCTTGATCCAATCTAATCAATTTCTAAATCCAATTTTTTGGCCCAATTGATGATTAAATCAAATAGCTGGTAAGTATTACTAATACTTAAAAATATTTTATCTCTATGACTTCTAATTCAATAAATTCTTTTATGTAGACTTGAAGGCTGAAGCAAATGAATTATAGATATGGATCACTGATGTTTTAGTTTTAGTGTCTACTTCTTGATACTTGTATATGCTGGTAAATTAATCTTATTGGACAATTTGTTATTTATATGTTTTTGAATTGGATTTCGTTAATTTGTAAAAGCTATGATTAAATATGTTATTAGTTGTATATATGTACTGTTGTTATAAATGTTTAAAATGTAATTGTGGTATGGAATCGAAAGGAACTGAACCCGAACAATTTCATAATTATATTTGGACCCGACGAATCAATTTATTAAATATTCGAAATTTTCGGTTCAGTTCGATTCTAAAGAGAATCGAACTGAACCGGACTATGCCCAGCTCCAGGTCAAACGAGGGTGAAAAGCAACCCATCACCCAAGCCTAACCCTTTCTTCCCCATTTCAATAAAATTCTCTTTGCCCCAAAGTTGTTGTCACTACAACCCAGGTGATCAACTGTCACCACCATCCATGCGATCGATCACCACTAAAGATCAAAAATAATTACCACGCAAACCTAGCCTCTCCTCCACTCCCATAAAATCCTTCTTGCTATAAAGTTGCCGCCACCACCCCCAAGTGATTGACCGCCCCAACTATCCAAGCCGGCCGAAAGTCATCGCCACCGCCACCCAATAAAGGAAGAATGAAAGAGTGACGAATTTCTTTACTTCAAATCTGAAAATCGAAATTGATTTTGAAATCAGATTTGATTTTGAGGTTTTGCTATTGTTGTGGTATAAATGGTTGTTCTAATGAATTAAAGTGGTAGTGGTGAGGAAAAGCAATGACGGAGGTGGAAATTTGATGGTGACGATGGCGTGAATGTTCAATTGCTTGAGGGAGCTACTAGTTTTGAGATGATGGTGATGGCTAGTTTTGACGAGGCATTGGGCTAGAGGTTGTGACAATGATGTGGATTGTGATAGGGTTGGACGACGAAGGATATGAATTTAGGTGAAATTGAAGCACAATATAAATTGAGTTGTAGGTGGTGGATGCGGATGATAGTTCGTGCCATCCTCATATTCATTGTCGGTAGTTAGTGGATGGCACCGACTTTGGATGGATGAGGTGGAGTCGTCTAGTGGTGGTGGTTTTGGGTAGGAAGGGATAGTTGTCGACGGTGGTTGTGGCGGTTGGGGATAGTAGTTTTGATTTTTAGGAAAAAAGAGATGGGGATAGATTGTAGCGTTATTTTTCTTTTTTTTAATTTTTTATTTAATAGAGAAAATGCATTTTTATCCAAAATGCCCCAACCTTATTTGGGAAAATTAATAATTTTTTTTTTAAATTTTGGAAGTCAAACTAACGAAAATTGTCATTTTAGACTTGAACTGCATATTTTTAAAAGATCTAGTACTCATTGTGGCACAAATGAAAGATTTGGACAAAATCTACTAATAAATGAAAGGTTTGGTATTGTAACTGCAATTTTCCCTTTGAAATATCATCCAAGCCATAATGCTTATGCATAAAAATAATTGGGACTTTATTGCACCTAAAATTGAGCATAAGATCCTCCAGAGACCAACCAGACAAAAAGTTGACAACTACTGAAGTGTCAAAATGGTGTAAAAAAAGGTTGAAAAAACCAGCAAATTGTTCTTTTTGGACTTTTCCTCCTGTTCTTTCCTTCTTTTTTTTGGCAGTACAGTCAGCAAAAACGTGTGATGAAAAAATCAGAGTTGTGTGCTCATCCAACTGGTACCCTGGAAAAGAAGTACAAAATTAAACCCTGTTAAACCATAGGTGACTTTTAACAGACAAAATTTTAAGGATCAATTTGTTGCAAAAATTGTAAAAGAACCTTGAGATATTATATAAAATTGTAAGGATCGCCAATAGAAGATGAATAACTATCTTTCAGACCACTCTCCATGTATTGTGTCACTTTTGCAACAAGATGACAGCAAAGGAAAACCATTTTAAGTTTTTCAACATGTGGGCGGATCACGATGATTTTTTAGACCTTGTTCAAGATTGTTGGAACGAAGAGATAGTGAGAACGAAGCTATTTACTCTTTACAAAAAGTTACAAAATCTTAAAGGGGCACTAAGGATGCTCAATGATAAGCACTTCTCATATATCTCCTCTCGAGCCGTAACTGAATCTAGAATTTTGAAAGAGGCCAAGTAGAATTGCATGGTAACCCTAAAAACACTCATCTTCAATGTGAAGTAGCTAGATTGAGGAAAGAGACCATGATTCTTAGTGAAGCAGAGACAAGTTTTTACTACCAAAAAACTAAGTGTACTTATCTAAAAAATAGTGATAAGTGCACTAAGTTTTTCCATTCAGTGGTTAAAAGAAATAAAAAGAGGAACTATAATGCTACCGTGTTGAAAAGGGATGGGACCTATACTTCCTTTTACAAGGAAGTGGTGAATGAATTCATGTGTTTCTATATGGACTTACTAGGAAAAAAACTACCTTGTTCAACCTTTTGAGGCCAATGTTGTAAAGAATGGACTCGTGCTAAAGGAAGAGGATGTTTTGTCACTTATTCGTGAAATTTCGGATCAAAAGATTAAAGAAGCTTTGTTTAGTATTGGGGATGATAAATCGCCGAGCCCGGATGGATATGCATCTTGTTTCTTCAAAAAGGCTTGGAGTATTGTTGGATGTGAGTTTAAGAAGGCTATTAAAGAGTTAAACAAACTAATCATACGGTGATTATTTTGGTTCCCAAGACAAATCACTCATCCTCCTTTGGAGACTATAGGCCAATTGCATGTTGTAAATGTATTCTACAAAGTCATTACAAAGATTCTCGCTTCTAGATTGGGACCTATACTTGGATCCAAGCAGCTTTTTTGGAGGGAAGATATATGATTGAAAACATTCATCTTGCACAAAAGCTTTTGAGACAATACAATCCAAAAGGAGTTTCCCCGAGATGCCTTCTCAAAATTGATCTAAGGAAAGCATATGATTCTGTGAATTGGGATTATCTCAAAAACGTACTCAAAGGTTTGGATTTTCCAGCTAAGTTTATTGGTTGGATTATGAAATGCATTTCTACTCCTACTTACTCTATTGTACTCAATGGTAGTCTACATGGCTTCTTCAAGGATTGAAAAGGGCTTAGACAAGGTGACCCACTATCTCCATTCTTGTTTCTGTTTTGTCTTGAATATTTTTCAAGAATGTTGAAAGGCGATACCGAGAATAGTGATTTCAATTATCACCTTAAATGTGGTCCGCTAAAGATCACACATCTAGCTTTTGCCGATGACTTGATGCTCTTTGCTAGGGGCGATTTTATGTCGGTTAGAATTTTGATGAATTGCCTTTCTAAGTTCGAAGATGTGTTAGGACTTAGAATGAATGCTAGCAAATCTAGCATGTTTACGACGAGTATTCATGGCAACGATTTAGAGGGTATTGAGGCATTGACCAACATTCCTATAGGTTCTCTGTCGTTTCGATATTTGGGAATTCCAATTGCCGCTAGGAAATTAAAAATCAGCTCATATAATGTGCTTTTTAATAAATTGTCGGCTTACATTTGTGCATGGACTAAATCTTCACTCTCTTATGTGGATAGGATGGAACTTGTTAGAGCTATACTACAAGGTGTGGTGTGTTTTTGGCCTGATTTTCTTTGAGGTACTAAAATATCGTTGGTTGCTTGGAGTACTATTTGCTTACCGAAGAAAGTGGGTGGGCTTTGTTTTAAAGATATCAAAAGTTGGAATTCATCTCTTCTAGCCAAAGTCCTTTGGAATATTCGTGCTAAGAAGGACACTTTATGGGTTAAATAGGTTACCCAAGTATACCTTCAAGGGAGCGATTTTTTGGAGTAAATCGCAAGAAAAAATGACTCCTCATTGCTCAAAAGATTGCTAGAGATCAGAGATAGCATTATTGGAATTTTTGGGATTGCCCAAACTGTTGGAAACGTGATGTCCAGCTGTAGTAAAGCTGGCCAATTTTGCGTCCGGGACGCTATGAGCATTTTTCGGCTGGAGGGAGACAGTAAAGTATGGACAAGGGAGGTTTGGAGATCTTTCATTACTCCAAAACATGCTTTTATCTTATGGTTGGGTGCCCAATTGAAGCTACTCACTAAGGATCGTATCTCAACATTGATAAGAATTGTGTTTTTGTGGGACGCACTTGGAAACGGGACATGTATTTTTCCAATGCCCTTTCACCTCTAGCATATGGATGAAGATCAAAGCTTGGATAGGGATTAGAAGATCGATGATTACTATTTCGAGTGCTTTGAAGTGGATCAAGAAAGAGGCTCGAGGGACATCTTGGCAAAGTAAATCCAAAAGAATTGCGCTTGTGAGCACCGCTTACCATATTTGGATGGCATGGAATAGGAAGATGTTTGAGGAACTTAATCCGCATGTTGATGGCTATGTTAGAAAAATTAAAACACACGTGTACAAGGTTATATTTTCTTTGCACACGCATGTTTTGATTCATTTTGAGTCTTTAACTCTGGGACCTTAGTACCTATCATTTGTACATTGTTTTCCTTTTTGTTTGCTCGAGTACGCTTGAAGTACTTGTACTTCACTTGGTTCTTGACTGTCTGAGTATACCAAGTGTACTTGTATTTGTACTTGATCTTTGATTGCCGTGTACTTGTAAATGAATTTTGCTCTATGAAATTTTACATTTAATGAAAAAAAAAAAAAAAACCTAAGCATTAAAGAGTACGATTATACAAATATTGTGATGCATGAGATCAACCACAGTTTACGTCACATTACAGAGACTTGGTTCTGGTTTTTTTCCAAACTTTCATTTAAAACTCTCTCTCTCTCTTACTCGTAAAAAAGAGTTAATTTTTTAGAAACTCAGTTTATTGGCAAAAGTAATTGACTTATTTTTCTTATTTTTCCTTCTTATAGTATTGCAATTTCCATATTGAAGTAAAGAAGAATATATACAGAAAGCTTTGGGCTGTTATCTACCGATTTCTTCGTTAGTTATTCTTCTTTCAAATTGGTTCATTACTGAACCTTGATTTTGACCCCCTATGTCATTATTTAACCAAGATACAATAATGGACTCAAAGATGCTATACACGAGGTGCTTGAGTTGAAATCCATTTGGAAGGGCTGAGGCAATAAGCTTAGCACTGAAGGCTGAACCTCAAATTTCCAAGGCCACTAGGAAAGCTTACTCGTGCAGGTATTCTAATGACTTCTCTAACAAATTGTCCAGTGCTCATTGTAGAAATGCCCCTACTTCCTTCACTTAGTCCATCTATTGACACTACGACCACACCTTAGGAGGCTGCTGAGAAACAACCAATTCCACATCCCAAGGCTTAGCCTCTATGGAAAGTCAATATCCTTTAAATCGCAGGTGAATACAAGTATTGGATTTTAAACATGGAAAAACTGCCAAGATAAATAGAGACAAATTTTCAAGATACAGTGGGATCTCTATTCCAGGATCACTTAAAATATTATGCCCAGTACCATCTTTGTAAAATCTATATTAGTTTCTTAAAGGATGGTAATGATTAATCGCATAATTTTTGTTTTCTGCACAATTTTGAAATGTGATTTAATACTCTTGTTTTGGGTCAACTCTTGCTTTCAGTATTTCTGGATGTTATTAAACAAGCCAACTCTTACATTTACCCCTACACGATTTACAGTTACATTCTCAAGAACTTAGAGACTCAGTTGCTTTCTTAGTCAATGAATCTAGCCTTCAATAAGAACTTGTTTCAGTGGGATTAAATCCAGCAGCACATATAAAATTCTGGGTTCAAATTATCCTAAGGCTGTCAATTAAAATTTAACCATAGATCTTGTACCATGGGACTACCCTTCTTCCTCATCTCTAAATTTTAATTTTCGAAGCATACCTAGACAGCAACAGAACTCTTATTTTGCAGCCTCTCTAATCCTTCAATCCATTACCAATCGAAAACCATTGTAGACCAAACATATTCCGTACACTATCAACCATATGAGGTCATATTTCTATCTAAAAGATAATCACACTCCATTACTAAGAATTGATTTGGCCAACGCTTTTTCTTTTAGATAAGTTTCAGTTCTTCGAATGAGTTACCAGATGGAAAGGTTAATGAAAAATCTTCACTTTGGTACATGTTCACTATCTGTTTAATTTGTTGGGTATAAGCTTAATATATATTTCTACTTACAATAGAGATTAGCATCAATCAAATCAACACATTGAATTAAGAGAGAGACGATTTCCCGTACATCAACATAATAAAAATTGAGGTGCAACTATAAGGACTAAGTACATAATAGTAAGGGGATAAGTCTAATTCATCAAATCAACACATTGAATTAAGAGAGACGATTTCCCGTACATCAACATAATAAAAATTGAGGTGCAACTATAAGGACTAAGTACATAATAGTAAGGGGATAAGTCTAATTCTAATTAAATATAATTAGCATAAAGAAATCATTACCCTTTATACAGCTTCACTGCTAATCTCATTTTCTTCTACATTTATTGTTGTAGCATTTGCCTTGGCATCATCTGCATCCTCAGCAGGCGGCTGAATCTGTTCCTCCTCAGGTAGTGGCTCCTCCACGTAATCATTTCGTAAATGCATCCGAAGAAACCTCATAGATTCTCACCTGTGGCTTTGATGGATCCTTCACAAGAACATATTTACCCTCCTTCAACTTCATGCACAAGTCCATGATACTCTTCACAATACCCCACATATTTGAAGTGTTCAAATTAATCTGTGGAGCAAAATCTCTTGGCTTGTACCCCACGACTGCCAAAATTACGTGGTTAAAATGATCCCTCGGATGGACCCTTGAAACGTGACCCAATTTCATCAAATTCGCACCACCCAAAAGAGCTTGTGAAGTCCATTTTGCCAACACTGCACTCGTTGTGTCTCCAACTTCTGTCTCCAGTCCATACCAGAATACTTGGAATAAAACTTGTTCAGTGCATTAAGGGTCAAAAACGACTTTTGATTGTTCACCTCCATCACACTCTGCACTTCACAACGTGAAACCAAATGCATATCATCGTCCAATTTCGACCTCCTATACCTATAGGCAACCTATGCAACTTCTTCCCCTTCATTGGCAAATGGGTTGGGCTCCTCAAAAGCAACCTTATTTAAATGCCTAATCAAAACATGTTGCGAATTTTTTTTTATTAATATATGCTGCCTCGACACTGTTAGAATGAAATAAACTTGTATGTATATTCATCTATATTATTACAATATTGGTGCATTTATATAGATAAAACTAGGCTATACAGGGACTACAAATATTGAGGCTACAATTGTGGATCCGACGTTGAGCTATAATTGAGGGATTGCATTGCATGATTCTTGCCTGTGATCTTCCCTTCAAGGACAATTCACACCAACACTCCCCCTCAAATTGGTACGTATATGTCAATGAGTCCCAACTTGTCTAGTGAGTTGTAAAATATTTTACTGCATACTGCCTTCGTAAGAATATCTGCTAGTTGGTCTTCAGAATTCACAAAAGGAAACCGGATGATCTTTGTATCGAGGTTTTGTTTGATGAAATGTCGATCTACTTCCACATGCTTCATTTGATCATGCTGTACGGGGTTATGGGAGATATTAATTGCTGCTTTATTGTCACAGAACAAATTCATCTCGGAGTTAGGAGCAAAGCCAATCTCCGTTAACAATCTTCTGAGCCACAGTAATTCACATAGCCCTTTAGCCATTCCACGAAATTCAGCTTCAGCACTAGATAGTGCAACTACCTTCTGTTTCTTGCTTCTCCAAGTAACCAAGTTTCCTCTAACAAAGGTGAAGTAGCCTAAGCTGGATTTCCTATCCATGTGTTCCCTGCCCAATCTGCATCTGTATACCTTTCTACCCTTAGGTGGTCATTTTTTGAAAACATAAGCCCCTTTCTAGGGGAAGACTTCAGATATCTTAAAATCTGGATGACAACACTCATATGATCTTCACTCGGACAGTGCATAAATTGGCTTACAACACTTACTGCATACGCAATGTCAGGCTACATGTGAGACAAATAAATAAGCTTTCCTACCAATCGTTGGTACCTCCCTTTATCTGTCGGTACTTAGTTGGGATATTCCCCAAGTTTGTGATTTGGGATTATTGGAGTATCTGCAGCTTACAATCTACCAATCCAACCTCTGTTAAAAGGTTTAGAATATATTTTTTCTGTGATAGGAAATTACCTTGCTTTGATCTAGCAACTTCAATTCCCAGAAAGTATTTGAGTCCTCCTAGGTTCTTCATTTCAAACTCAGATGCCAACTGCTCTTGAAGTTTCGCTATTTCTTTTGAATCGTCTCCTGTTATGATTATATCGTCTACATAGATTATCAAAGGAGTCACTTTGCCCTGCCAGTGTTTCAAGAATAGGGTGTGATCAGAGTTACTTTGCTGGAACCCATACTTTTTCATTGCCATACTGAATCTCCCAAACCAAGCTCGAGGTGATTATTTCAGGCCGTATAGAGTTCTTTGCAATTTGCAAACAACATTACCTTTGGTGTTGGCCATATATCCTAGGGGAATATCCATATAAATTTCTTCTTCTAAATCATCATGCAGAAAAGCGTTCTTCATATCGAACTGGTGTAAAGGCCAATCAAGGTTTGCTGCAAG